ATGGTTTTGGAAAGAAACCTGTTCGAGGTAGGAAATTTTGTTGACGATGTAAGTGAGGGATAACGGGAGTAGGATGCTTGTTTTGTTTTGTTCGTCACAGAAGATGTCAAAGCCGGAGAAACCGCATTCGTTCGATTGCCGGCCCAGGAGACGAAACGGGAACCGTATTTCTGGTTCGTTGGGGCCGCAGGATACCGGCGAACAGTTGTCCTTGGCATCGGCGATTGGTTTGAGTAAGAAGAGGGAGAAGATTAGTAGGAGAATATGTTTCTTCTCCATGTAGTTGCTACTTCACCGGCGTGTGTAACGGAGTTAAGGGAAGAACGTAGTTTTATGGTGGTGATTGGTGAGATAATATCTCAAAATATAATCCATGTAAGTATCTATGTTTACCTTGGAAGAATGAAGACAAACTTATGATCTAAATTGATTATTGGGATAATCACCATAATCACAATGTTAACATTTATGCTTCAAACAAAAAATCAAATTGATAATCATGTCGTATGTAGTTAATGACGATGTTTATTATAATTCAAATCTGTTTTTCACAAAAAAAAAAAAAAATGTTTAATTTGCTTTTATAAGTTGTAAAATTGTTTTTATAATATTGAAATAGCAAAAAAAATCTTTCTAACTTTTTTAAGGTTTCTTTTGTTGAGGACCAATTTTTAAGCTAAATATTTTTCGTAGGTTTTTGTCTTTGTGAGATAGAAAGATAGTTTTTGAGATAGAGAGATAGACTATAAAAATGCATGCCGCAACTAACCAGTTTCATAATACGTTGTCAAATATGAAATGGGAATTTACTAACTAGTTTCCGAAACATTCTTCTAGAGAAATGTTAATCTATGACTCAAAATGTATTTCTCTATCAAGAAGATTCGACTAGGTGATATTTCTTTTTTGGTTTAAAGCATGGTCAAAATCTTAAACGTAACTAACAAATATTGATGTTATTATAATAAACTAGGTTATAAATTTGTGTAATATATTGTTGATAAATTGGAATAACATAGATCATAAATAGTTAGGAGAACCTAAGAATGTTATTATAAATTTAAGAAACTAATACAAAAAACAACAACATACTTTACTTTGACTAATTATCACAGCATTGTACTCTATGTAAGTACATTGTGTTTGCTACGACTATGTACTTCAGATTCTTCAATTTTTTAGATCCAACTTTTATTTTTGCTCAATAGTAGTTGATAAAGCTTCTTTCCGTGACTTTTTTAATTAAAATGTTCTTTCTATATTAACTCAAACCCGTGAGCAAGAAGAGTGGTTGATATTTAAACTTGAGTCAACCTAGTTTTGAATTCCTTGACCATCCTATCTCTATCCTTTTTGGAAGAGCACCTTGAAATGTCGTCATCTCATAACCATAGCCAACAAGTGCATTATGCAAATAGCCAACAAGACATCAGAACGAGATTTAAGCGAATTCCAATTTTTGACAAACAAATTCAATCGTAAACTTTTCTCTTGTTAAAATCAGCATTTCATTGTTTTCTTGACTTTTAACTCTTTAACTTGTTTACTAAAAGTAATAAGCTTGTTTGTATTTAACTTATCTTTCATACTCGCCCAAGTACTTTGAATCAGTGCATCAATCCCTCCAAAATCTAACCATGAATCATAGAACTTAAAGGGAACGAGTCATTATCAAAATTCTAATCTTCAAAAGGAAAGGACCAGATGGACAATATAACATCCCAAAAATTATGATAAAAATTCTAATCTTCAAAAGGAAAACAACCATAGTATCAACCCATATCAAATCCAAAGTATCAATAGTCAAAACATGTCATGATAAAACAACATCAAAGTAACAATCCCAAAGATCTCCAATGCGGAAATATAGTTTGATGATCTATGATCATGCCGGCTCCTTTACACTCGAAGAGAAAGTACCTGAAACCAAAACTGAAAACCGTAAGCAGAAAGCTTAGTGAGTTCCCCCATCATACCACATAATCACATACTCTCAGCCACATATGGGTGGCTAACCTACCATGTCGGGCATATCTAGGTGCCCAACCTATCATATCAAGCATATATGGGTGCTCGACGTACCCTGCCAGGCATATCTGGGTGCCCGACCTACCCTCCGGTGTATCTCAACAGACTAAAGAGACTATTTCACCCCTTACCACTACCACATAATACATAGCATAAACATATTGTCAGACATATCCGAGTGCCCGATCTACCCTGTCGGTCCTTACAACCGATAACGGGGTATATCCCACCCATCCTACCACTATCACATAATATCATAGCCCACTAACACATAACACATAACACATAGTGGCATACTAGACAATTATCACAAAGACAATCATCTCAACTATAATCAACTACTAATGGGTCGGCCTAAGTGTTTTCGACCCACTTCTACTGGAAGGTAACTCACCTTAAATGTCGTGAAGTAACTGAACTGTCCTCGGCTTTGAAATCCGCCTCACTCATGCTCCTACACATAAATATTTCCTTTAATTACCCTTTCAAGCTCATAACCCCTTAAGGGTCAACTTTGTCAAAGTCAAAGTCGAGGTCAACACTCTGGTCATAGTCAACCTCTGATCAAAGTCAACGTTCTCAGTTGATTCAACTCGCCAAGTTGACCCATCAACTTGCTTAGTTCCATAAATCATAAAACTCTGAAACCGCGATCTAACTAGTCGAGTACTTTCACAGCTCGTCGAGTTCCTCCTATCCACATAATCAGGACTTTCCCATTCTACTCGTCGAGTCATCCTTGAACTCGTCAAGTTTTCCCCTTTACAGAATCGGAACATTTCGACCCAACTCATCGAGTCCCTCTATGGACTCGATGAGTTCTTCAGTATGTTTAGCCATCTTAAAAGATTAAGCTCATATCATTCAGATCTAAGCTTCACACTTCATCTATATACTAAAAATGTCCTTTTAAGGGTAAAATTTCCAACTTTACCCGTTAATAGCCTCCATTAATGGGTTTAGCTCAAACCCTAATTCTTTAAGATCTAGATCTTGATCCAAAAGCCCTATGTACTTCAAACTAAGGCATACAAACTGAGATCTAGACCTTAGACACCACTTGAACATGTAAAGTTTCTATCTTTATCTCCATGCATGCCCTTTTGGGGCTTAAAAGGCCAAAATGTCATCCTAAAGCTTGCATGGGGAATCAATGACCATAAAGTTTGCACATTTATGCCATATCATCCCTTCAAGGTCCTAGATCTTGAAGTATACACACTTGGGACATCCATTTCCAAAAAGCTAACATTCTTGGACCAAAAACCCCATAAAAGTGAAATGAAGAGATCTTAGAAATCATTAAGCAAGTTTGAGACTTGCTTACCAAAAAATGCTGCAAATGAAGTGAAGTTTCTGGATCTATTATCTTCTTCTTGATTCCTCAAGCTTCTTCTTCTTCTTCCATAAGCTTCAAACACACAAGTTTTCTCTCAAAAATGACTCACAAGCTCACACAAGGCACTATGGTTTCATGGCTTGGGTTTGGGGCTTGGAGGCTGTAAATGAGGCCCAACTTTGGAGGTTAAGGTGTTTAAATAGGGTGCAAAACCCTGAAATTAGGGTTTCACTTTGTCAGCCTTACTCGTCGAGTTGAGGCTCTCAATTTGTCGAGTAGACTTTAATATCCGCGACCAATTCCATTCCTACTCGACGAGTTTGGGGACTCCAACTCGTCGAGTTTCTATACAAAAGTGAATAAATTTTGATGTGAAATACATACCAGGAACTTGGCATTATAAATCTCCCACACTTATTTTAGACTTCATCCTCGAAGTCTGTTGTGTCTGGAAATAGTTATGGGTAGTGCTCCCTCATCTCGTTCTCCGGCTCCCACGTCCATTCTGAGCCCTTGTGGTGCTGCCACTGCATCTTCACCAACTCCACCCTCTTGTTCCTCAGATCCTTCGTCTTCCTGTCGAGGATGGCTACTGGTCGCTCGATGTAGTTTAGGTTGTCATCCACCTGAATATCCTCTAGAGGCACCACTGCAGAGTCATCTACCAAGCATTTCCGCAGCTGGGAGACATGAAAGGTGATGTGGATCCGACTAAGCTCGACCGACATATCCAGCCTATATGCCACCTTGTCCACCCGGGCTATAATCCTGAAAGGTCCGATATACTTAAGGTGAGTTTTCGGAGGGCGAATTTATGTAGTATGTTTTAGTTATTTTATTTGTGTTTTTTTTAATTATTTTAATCGTTTGATGTGCGTTTTTTTAAGTTTGTAGGATTTTTTTTAACATCATGTTATTTATTTATTTAATTTTAAGCAATGCAATGTAATGTTATTTCTTTTTATTTTGAAGTAATTAAAAACTTATGTTTTTTTATTAAAAATGAAGTTTTATTTATATTAAATTATATATAAAAAATAAAAAACAAAAGTATAGCACCACTCCGTGGGTGTGACAAAGAACCACATTTTTGTGGTAAAAAGTGATGTGGCGTCTATGTGGCAGTGAAGAGAATGTGGTTTCGGTGGCATCACTCCACATGCTTGACATCGAATGTTTCCCTTTCCTAAATCGCACATTAGAAAACGACATGGCACCGATTCTAGTTGTTGCAACAAACCGAGGAATCACAACCATTCGTATAGCGAAGAAGATATCCCGAAGATTCTAGATATACGGTGTCAGGAAGAAGATGCTGATGTGGCGGAAGATGCAAAAGTTTTGTTGACTAAAATTGGGGTGGAGACGAGTTTGAGGTACACGATAAAGTTGATAACATCGGCTGCTTTGGCTTGTGAAAAGAGGAAAGGGAAGGTGGTGGAGATGGAGGATGTGAGTAGGGTTTATAAGTTGTTTTGGGATGTGAAGAGATCTACTAAGTATTTGATGGAGTATCAGACTCCGTATATGTTTAGTGATGCAACTGAGGAATATGATGTTAAAATGATGGTTTGATTGTGATTGTGGTTGAATTTTTTGATTATTTATGGTCTAAATTATATGAATCTTATCTCTAAAAATTCTCAATGCAGTATGCACCAAACATCCTATAATACTTTTACCATGTAATTATTAATTACCCATGTTTTTATACATACAAAATGTACACGTAAACCCTATCCAAATTCAAGATTTATTTTCGATTTTTTTTTCTATGATGAATCTACCGAACTCAATCTCGATGATGCCGAAGAACAAGGGGTAACCAGTGCCGAACTTTCCGGTGAGTTCCTACACACCGGACAGGTGGCATTCAACTTGAGCCACTCATCAATACATTCGGAATGGAAATAGTGATTACATTCCGGGATTGTCCTAAACGACTCTTTAGGTTTGTAATCAGAAAGACATATAGCACAAGTAGCATCATCGTTAGGCAATCGGCAACTCTCTCCAAGCACAGTTTTAGGATAAGACTCGATTGTGGGCCCATCTAAACCTGTTCTGGAGGCCAATTGTGGGATGATTGCGATTGAGTTAATGTCAATCCTTTGGTTATGAGATTCGTTATGGGCTTGAACTCTAGAAGATGTGTAACATATAAGCCCGATGATGCCTATTAAGGCAGGTACACCGATGCCTATGCTTAATCCGTATTTAGCATTCCTTGGAATACCTACGTCGAATAAAACAAAACGCGTATTAACAATAGATAATTGAATTTAAACTGCACATATTTTGACTTTTTGTGTCCATGTCGACTTCATGAGCAAGTTGATTATTCCTCATGTTAAATTCCAAGCAATCGCATGCTAGATGCCATATTGCCATGTTGACTAGTTGTTACTTGTTTGTTAGTGTAGGAGACTATTAGGTATAATATTTAACAAATATACATATTACCATTTGATAAAACCCCAATGATTACACACTTTTATATACTTATTGCCCGACATGAATAATTGAATTTTTCTAAATGGTTTAGACATCAAAGTTTAACTTTTTCCAATTATGACCCACGAGTCCGCAGAAAGTCCTCTGGGGACTCGATTTCCCTCAGCGGATTGATTGTACTTTTTTATAATTTTACGTGAGTCCGTAATACTATCAGACCATAAAACGGGTACTACGGACTGAAGTTTCGGACTCCGACAACATTATAAAAAAAGTCCTTCATATTTGACAATTGTCATGAGTATGTAGATGACTATTTGTGGGCTCGTTGATAATTTTTTGAAAAGTCTCTTTTTGGCACTTAGTGTGTCATTTGGTCATTTTTGGCCAAATTTCTTTAAAAAGATGGTATTCGTAAGGATAGCTCTCTACCTTAATTGATATTACCTTATGCATAAAAAAGTGTATAACAAGTATCACGGAGGAACCTCTCATGCTAGCTTAAAAGGTAGTACTAAAAATAAGGAAAGCTTAAAAGTTAGTTCTTTCTGCATAAAAACATGTACTGTAAGAGTCAGGAGAGAAACCATACCGCGGGAAGGACTAATGCAAATTGTCTGTCCATCATCGCTCTTCAACCCACAAGCTTTACCTTGCCTTTCACAAGATCCGCAATACGGAGTGAACCACATCAACTGCAATTCATATCTAAAGTCACTGTTTGATCGAACTGGCACATCGATCGTCTTCAAAACCTTACAATTTGAAGGCATGGAACCAGTAGAAGCGATTACAGAGTAATTTCCGGTGCTCAGGCAACGGAATGGTAAGCCTTGATACGTTTGATCGAAGCTCTGTAACTGTAAGGTGCAGTTGTAAAAAGTGTAGCTCTGTCTCCAAAAGGTACTGTAACTGAATGGCGTGTTTGTTATATCGACATCGACAATTCGATTTGGCCGGCAGAATTCCGGATCTATGGAGATGACCTGTGAATCGTTTACCGATTATGATTAATACATGATTTAAACTAGTTTTTGAGTAAGAATTCGGAAACGAACCTGTGAAAAGTAGGAAATACTGTTGACTATGTATGAGAGGGATGACGGAAGTCGGATGATTGTTCGGTTTTGTTGGTCACAGGAGAGATTGAAACCGGGGAAACCGCATCGGGCCGGTTGCCGGCCGGAGATACGAAACGGGAACCGTACTTCTGGTTCGGTGGGGCCACAGGAGGATGGAAAGCAGTCGGTGTTGGCTCCGGCGATAGGTTTCGGTACAAAGAAAGAGAAAGAGAGGATTATTAGTAGGAGAATGTGCTCCTTCTCCATAGGGTTGCTACTTGCTACCTCACCGGTGTGTTTGATGGTGTAAAACATGGAAGTCTTTATGTTTACTTTGAAATCAAATTTATGATATTATTTTATTTTATTAATAATAAATTACTTTTTTTTTAATAATTAAGTTTATGAATGACAGAGACAGAGCATGCAAATGGTAGAAAGGTAACTCGAACATCTTTATTTTATTTTTTGTTTACTAAAATGAATATTTTTTAATTTTCTTTAAAGCAAATATTAATGTATTACGAAACTTCCATAAGCAAAAATGTAATTAAGAAGATCGCATCCAAAGCATCATTTTTTTATTAGACAAAGACACATTGCCTAACAAGGTCACCAATTCTCGAACGTGAACCACAGTTGAAAAACACAAATCACATCAATTACCGATAAGATATAAAATCTGAACCGCGATTTCACAATGAAACAAACATATCATCAACACGATCTTGTTAGTTATCACACACTGGGCATAAAGTAGAGTAAATATCAATTTCTGCATTTGCCAATTTTACTCTTGTATGAATGCGATTTAGCAGGATTCTCCACATCAAGATATTAATCTTACTAGGAATGAACATATTCCATCTAGCAACTAACCCATCTACCAAAGTAAGATTGTCAATGCACCGTTCAAGGTATGAAATATATATATATATATATATATATATATATATATATATATATATATATATATATATATATATATATATATATATATATATATATATATATATATATAATGATATTCGTCCTTTTTAACAAGAAGCTAAAACTTTCCAAAAAAAAAAAAAAAACTTTGGTCTAATTCTTTCCCAAAGATTACCGATTTTAATCGGCATTTTAAAGGAGACTTGGATCCAGATAAATTCCAAGAGGTCCCATTTTAATTTTTAAAGAAATAAATTTTACAATTTTGGTATTTGGTACTCGTTTAAAAAAAACAAGAGTCCTGTACCAAATCGTTTAAAAAAAACAGTTGGTATGCCACCGTGACAATGACATACATGGTCAACACGTTCAGTAAACATCAGAGCACCAATAAAGGTTTGACTTCGATCCTAAGTAACCTTTGAAAACAATGTATGCACCAAACATAAGCGAAATTTATAAATTAATTATAATTATTATAAATAATTGTTATTAAATTTACAAATTAATAGTAATATCCATATACAAGCAACAGTTTATTGATGACAATAGAATATATGTTATCCTAATAAATTTTTGTACAAAAAATGTGCAAAACCTAGAACTTCATACAAAAAACATCAATGACTTAAAAATATGGCAAAATAAAAAGGTTCTTGTTAACTCTATCAATCATGTCTTTAAATTTTCCTATGCCCACACATGGTATAATAGTTTAACCGTGTAACCTCATTTTTATATCTACAAATATACATGTAAAATGGATCAAAATTCAAAATCATTTGTATTTGTTGTTGTTCTTTAAGTTGAATCTTCCCGACTCGATGTCGATGACGCAGAAGAACAAGGTGTAACCAATGAAGAACTCTCCGGTGAGTTCCTACAAACCGGACAGGTGGCATTCAGCTTGAGCCACTCATCAATACATTCAGAATGGAAATAGTGATTACATTCAGGGATTGTCCTCAACGATTCTTTAGGTTTGTAATCAGAAAGACATATAGCACAGGTAGCATCATCATTAGGCAATCTACAACTCTCTCCAAGAACAGTCTTTGGGTAGGACTCGATTGTGGGCCCATCCAAGCCCGTTCTCGGTTGTGGGATGATTGCAATTGAGAAAAGGTCAATGCTTTGGTTATGAGATTCGTTTTGGGCCTGTGATCTAGCTGATGCATAGCATATAAGACCGATGATGCCTATTAAGGCAGGTACACCGATGCCTAGGCTCAATCCGTATTTTGCACTCTTAGAAATACCTATAAAGGAAGATTGGTGATTAATAAAACGACTTCAAAGTTCGGACTAAACTTGCAACTTTATGTAAAACATAAGGACTATATTTGCACAACAATTTTAATATTTGGATTGAATTTGTGGTTTGTGTAAAGCACAAGGATCAAATTTGTAATGTACTCTAGTCTTTATTCTAAATTCAACTAATTGCATGGTTGGTGCCGTTTTTGACTCGTTACACAGTATGTTAGTTGGTGTAGGGGAGTGTTAGGTATAGATTTTGAAAATATATTTTCCAAAGATGCATTACATTTTCTGAATTTGTTTATAGATTCCACTGATTTTACTTTATGTCAATTTATATTTTTATATTGATTAATGTATTTTAGATATAGTTGAAGTGATTAAACGATATATCTATTTATTTATAACCTACACTATTAAAATTTGAAAAAGCTTTTCACCATATTACAAGTTCTACGCATTAAATGTGATAAGATCAGTGATATTCTAGACAAAAAAGTAAATGAAAGCGTAAAATAACGTGCAATAAAGTCTACAAGTTAATAAAAAGTACAAGTTAAAACCTACATAGTCGACATGATTGTCGAGTGTTGCTTAAATACGTGCTTTGAAAACTATATGCTTCAAAATAAAGATTTTGAAAATGTATTTTCGGAAAATATTATTAACATATGAAAACAAATATAATGATACACATTTTATTAATTGTCCGACATGAATTATTAAGATATTCTATATACATGCTCAATGTTTACGACAATGAAAGTTTAACTTTTTCGAACTACTTTATCAAGTTTTAATTAAAATAATATATTGTTTTGCTTATTATATATAAGTTAATTATGTTATAATATGTTTAAATTGTGATTTTTTGCTTTCAGTAACGAACAAAAGTTTAAATTTTAAAATAAAATATCAAATCAGCCATAAATAAATGATTAAAATTTTGAATGCATTTTAGTTGGATAGAAAGAAAAAAAAAAAAAAAAAGTCAAAAACCTGCAATCATCTCGCTTGAAAAGGCAAAAAGGGATGATCAGATTAGAAGAAGATAAAAGTCAAAAGGTAAAAGTTAAAGCGTAACGAACAAGAAGCAATCAACCTTTATCGGTAGTACTCTGTGCACAAAAATATGTACTGTAATCATTAGTAAAAGCTTGCAAGTAAGAATCATGGAAGGGATGAACTTCTCAGGCTAGTTTGACAGATAGTACTTCATGCATAAAAATATATACTGTGTAAGAATCAGGAGAGAAACTTACCGCGGGAAGAACCAACGCAAACTGTCTCTCCATCATCGCTCTTCAATCCACAAGCTCTACCTTCCATTTCGCAAGATCTACAAAACGGAGTGAACCACATCAACTGCAAATCGTCTCTAAAGTCACTGTTCAACCGGATTGGCACCACGATCGTCTTCATAGCCTGACAATTTGAAGGCATGTATGCAGGAGAGAATATTCCGGTCCGAGTAGCGATTACCGAATAATTTCTGGAGCTCAGGCAAGGGAACGGAATGGCGGGATACATGAAACCGTAGTTCTGGGTGGAGCAGTTGTAAAAAGTGAAGCTCCTTAAGGTGCTGAAACGGAATGGCGTGTCAGTTAGATTGACACCGACGATTCGGTTTGGCCGGCAGAATTCCGGATCTATGTAGATCACCTGTGAATCGTTTACAGGTCTCTAATTAGAGACGTAATTTGAATTTGAAGCGTCTTATTTGTGTAATGTTTTGAAAACGAACCTGTGAAACGTAGGAAATTCTGTTGACGATGTATGAGCGGGATGACGGAAGTCGGATGATTGTTTGGTTTTGTTCGCCACAGGAGAGGTCGAAACCGGGGAATCCGCAGCGGGCGGGTTGCCGGCCGAGGATATGGAACGGGAAACGTATTTCTGGTTGGTGGGGGCCACAGGAGGCCGGCAAGCAGTCGTCGTTAGCACCGGCGATGGGTTTCAGTAGAAAGAAGGAGGAGAGGATTAGTAGGAGAATATGTTCCTTCTCCATGTGTTTGGTAGCTCACCGGCGTGCCCAAAAGAGTGTAAGATAGAGCGTAGTTTTATGGTGGTGAATCTGGTGATTGCCTGATTGGTGAGTTGAGATTTCAAAATATCTCTGGATTCATTAAAATGTGTATGTATTTTATACGTACTTTCAAAAAATACCAATGATTTTACTTGATTTTAATATAAAATATAAATATAAAATTTTACTTTTTTAAAATGATTAGGTTTATAGCATTCATAGCCATTTGTCATCTTGTATTTGTTTATGGAAGAAAATGTAATTAAAATCATTAGATCATTCCTAAAAGCACGATAAGATTATCCGAGGTGGCGGTCTCTTCACGCCCGAGATGCTGAGATGATCTATTGGAGACTCGTGAACACCACCCCTCCATGGATGGGTGGGTTGGCTGTGGTGTGAAGGGTAAGACGGAAGAAGACGTGTTTTTGCTTGTTTGTTCAATTTCAACTGTTTCAAGCATTTAAAAAAATTGAATTCATTATTTCTTTAATTTCTCTTTATATATACATTCATTTTACATATAATCTTCAAACTAAAACAAACACACTCTTTCAAAACAAACACATATATTCAACAAAAAAACACTATCTTCTCATGTATTTTTTATATTCTATATATGGATCTAAATCAAAATATTTCACCGAGGGGAAGGTCCACTGGAAATTTAAGGGTGTTTTTAAAAATACAACAAGAAGTTCTCGACTAGTATGGCAACTAAATTCTATGTTTTTTATGCTTTTTAGTAATTTAGGTTTAATTTTCTATGTTTTTTTTAATGATTTTTTAGTAATTTAGGTTTAATTTTCTATTTTTTAGGTTTAATTTCTATGATTTTTAATTAATGTAATATGGTTTCAAATTAATGTAAAAATATTTTATTATGTTTTAAATTTTGTTTTTATTTAATTTAATCATAAAAAAATAAAATAAAAAATTATGGAGTGATAACCATTTTCAATATCTAGTGGGTTGGTAGTGAAATTGATGTAGCGCAGAGATGGCAACATTTTTTCAATGGGTTGATAGTGACCTATCCCCATAACCTAAGAGTATTTTTAAAAAACTTAAGGAAAAAAAAAACTTTCACAAAACTTATCAGCTATGAGAGATTTTCAAACTAAGTTTTA